AACGAAGTCACAACGACAACCTGTCACTCTACTTATTGTGGTACCTCTCACTCAACTTATTGTGGTAGTTGGTTTTTCATGAGACGGTAGGTTGTGGCAATCGCTACAGCATGAATTCCTCGAATGGTCTTACACTTTCAACACATGTAGGGACAATCTAGACAAAAATAATTAAATAAATAATAAAAATAGAAAAACTTAGAAAATGAACTTACACCTTTAAAATTTCAATAGTCAAGAACTTTAGCTACAAAATATTAAGACCAAGTTTGGTAAGTTAAAAAAAAGTTAAAAAGTTAAAAAATTAAAAAATTATCACTATTCATTAAAAGTCAAAAATTAAGGCTGCACAACTCCTAGTTGTAATTTTTTCCTATACATTAATTTATATAATTTTTGAATACATATTTTTTTTATAAAAAGTCAAAAAGTTAACCCAAACATCCATATTTTTTTCCTCAATTTTTTAGTCCAAAAAGATAAAAAATACACTTATTTAGGACACCCTAAACAACCCCTTAATTTGGTTAAACAATTGAAGTACGGACTAATTATTTTAAACTTGACTATTAGTTAAGATAAGATACATAATCCAACGGATTCGTAGTCGTAGGACTATTAGTCATGGGAATGCTAATCCAGTCCGCCCAAACAAACATGGCCTAAAAGTCAAAAATTACGGCTGCACAATTCCTAATTCTAATTTTCCCCTACACATTAATTTCTACAATTTTTTAATACACTAATTCACAAATGGCAATTGGAAAACAAAGGGTCAAACTGTGGGAAAGTCGAAACGTGACACAATCCACGTCGGAAAAAAAAAATGTGTCAAATTATTTGTGTTCACGTCACAACCCACGTCACAAAAAAAAAAAAAAATGTGTCGAATTACTTGTGTTCAGGTCACAACCCACATCACAACAAAAAAAAAAAAACAACAAAAAATGTGTGAAAATACTTGTGTTCACGTCACAACCTACGTCTCATGTTTTGAGTGTTACACACTTACTAAATTAAAAAAAGTATTAGTGTGCTTTTTCGATCAGCGTGACATACAAACACCCATTCACCGTATCTCATACAAACCCACACCAAATGTCAATCAATAATACTAGCAGTGACAAAACTGTCAACAAATAAATTAAGGGACCACCTAGTCACTAAGAAAACATTCAGGACCTTATGGATTACAAGTCCACAATATGGGATTTACTGGTCAATTCCCCTTTTTTTTTTTTTTATAAAAAGTCAAAAAATTAACCCAAACATCCATATTTTTTCCTCAATTTTTTAGTCTAAAAAGATAAAAAGTACACTTATTTAGGACACCCCAAACAACCCTAAGTGTGACTCGAAGTCATAAAAAAAAATTGGTTAATGATGTATAGCTAATTTTTTCCTACAAATAAAAGGTAAGACCAAAAAATTAATATAAAAGGGTGAGAAATAAGAAATAATTGCAAGAAGCATGGAAATGTGTAAATAATTACATCATAAGCCAAAAGATGCATACCGATATACTACCGCTGATTTATTTATATATAAACTTATTTCTATGGATCCGAAAAGGACTTATATAAATATTTGAGTGGAATGATGGCAACTTATAAGTTGAATCAACTGAAATAAAAATAAAAATAAAGCGAAATATTGACAATAGTCATTAAGGTCATTGTCAGTATTGAAAAATGTATATAACATATGTAAAAAAATATTGTAAATATGTATTCGGATTACTAATTAAGGTCGGTGTTAATATTATGTGATTTTTATTGACAGTCCTTACTTAGTGTTGTTATTAGCAAAACCTAAAAAATTGACAAATAAATGAGATCATAGGTAGAACAATGGCTCATAATATCATGACCCAATAACCTAATAATACAATAACACGAATATTAAATAGATAAAGTTAATGTTGAACCTACATAACACAAGTTGATATGAGGTGTAAATTTGGCCCACGGTCCGTGGGTTGCCTGAAATCCGCTCGTAGCCCGGGATAGGCCCGGCTCAGTTAGGCTTGGGCCCAAGCCTAGCCTGGGGCCATCATTTTGAAGCCCGACCCATGGGCCATGGTCCCGGCTCGCCTATGTCCCAGCCCATCAGTTTGTTCAAGGCCTACTCAAAGCTTGGCTTGAGACTCAGCTGCCCAAGACCCAATGTCATATTTAGTGGAAAAGAATAAAATTTTGATGAAAAAAATAGAATAAATAAATAAAAATATTCAGGCCCGCCGAGGCACGGCCCAAGCCCATCGACCTAGCTCGAAGCTCGGCCCGTCGGCTTGCCCAAGGCCCAAATACCCCTAGGCTTGGGCCTAATTTTCTAACATGCAAACCGGCCCGAGTTGACCCAAATTTTTGATGAGAGCTCGGGCGGTCCGACATGGGTTGGGTTGGACCAGACTGGCCCAATTTACACCCCTTATATATTTTAATATTATTTATACTGAGGAGTGACATGACATATTTGAATCCCTTATGTAATTTTATCCAACCCATTAAAAAGTATGTAAAAAAAGATTTCAACGCTAATATAGATTTTAAAAAAAAATTAAAAATAATGTATTTTTCTAATACTTTAGAGTTAATATACTAAAAAAATATCTAATAATATGATATAGTTTTTGTAAATTAGGAAAATAAAATTGAGTTAAAATTAAGGCCTCGTTTGGGGAGTGGCTATTTTAGTCAAAAAGTCAAAAAGTTATTAAAAGTTGTCACATCACCTCTCTATTTTTCTGCACTTCTTTTTGTAAAAAGTCAAAAAATTACTAAAATAACCTGTTCTCAAACGAGGCCTTAGGATTATTTAGGATATTCTAAATAAAAATATTTTTTTATTTTTTATAAAATATGGATTGAGTTTGAGGTAATGTGGTAAAAATTTGATGTGATTTAGGCTTCGTTTGGGAAGTGGATTGACTTTTTGACTTTTTAACTTTTTTGGCTATTTTAGCCTGGGTAAAAAAGCTTGGTTTGGGAAGAGTTTTTTGGCCTTTTAGCTTTTTTGACTTTTATTGTGAGAGAATAGTGTAATGATTATGGATTGGATGTGATATTTTGTTTGTTATGACTAAATAATCTATTTAATTTTTTGTAACTAAAATAGCCCCAAACCTATCCAAACCCACTTGCCAAACCATGCCTTAAATAGAATAATGACTTTTTAACCTTTTTAAGGAATACCAAACCCAGCCTTATTTGAGAAAGTGTCAAAAAAATATCACATGTTTTTGTTTTTAACTAATCACTATTTGTTGTGTTTCTATTGTTTTGTCGTTAGTGCTACGTGCACTAATTAATATATTAATTAGTATATCAATATTAGTTATAATATTATTATTGACTCTACTCATTAATCATATTACAAATATCAAAAATCTCTTAAATTATGTTGCATCATCAATTAATATATTAATTAGTACATTAATTAATACATATACGTTTGGGAAGAAGTTGGTTGGGTTTTTTTGGCTATTTTAGCCACAAAAAACAAAATAGGCTATTTTAGCCATAACAAACAAAACATCACATCCAACCCATAATCATTACACTCTTCTCTCACAAAAAAAGCCAAAAAAGTCAAAAAGTCAAAAAGTCCTTCCCAAACCAAGCTTTTTAGCCTAGGCTAAAATAGTCAAAAAAGCCAAAAAGCCAACCCACTTCCCAAACGGAGGCTAAATATTCATATAAATAATTTCATTCATGCTATGTTTGGCATGGGCTTTTTTTTGGGGGGGGGGGCTATGTGAGCTACAAAAAGACAAAATAGGCTAAAAAGTTAATAAGTTAAAATGCTACACCCCAACCATAATCATTTCATTTTTTCTTTCAAAAAAGTCAAAAAAGCCAAAAATACCCATCCCAAATGAGATTTTTTAGTTTCAGGCTAAAATAGATAAAAAGTCAATCCACATCCCAAACGAATGTTCAATAGAGATTAGTTTCATTACATTTAACTTATAAAAAAAAATTTAATTTTTTAATACAAAAAATTCACATGACAAGTGAACATGACACACCATAATATGACACAATAAACTAGTTGTGTAATGTTAAAGTAATTCTAATACAAACTCAAAATCACAGGACTCAAACACGACACGTTGACCTCTACTTAAAGCCTCTGGCTTCCTTACATTAAAAAGAAAAAAGCAGAAAAACATTTTGGAAAGGGTTTATGGCTTCAGTTAATGCAGTATTTGTTTTGACTTTAAGTTGTCTTGAATTTCTCCCTGCAAGTTCAAATTTGAAAAATTTGAATTTCATGTATATATTTGACTAATTTTTTTTAAATATTAAAAAGATATACTAATCTTTTTTTATTTTATTCGGTGCATAAAAAGTAGAAAAATTACATTTAAATAAGGACAATTCAAAATAATAATATTTTTCTGGAGATACAAGCGAGTGTGTCCAATGCAAATAAAAGTGATGTTCCATGGCACAACTGTAAAGTACAATTATTTTGAGTTTATTCCTATTTAAATACAATTTTTTTTTTCTATAAAAGTTCTAAAAATCTTTTTAATAAGAAATGAATGTCAAATTTAAAAGCCTTCCTTTGAATCTAGACTTTCAATAAATATTTCATAACTTTGAGCCAATTTTTGTATATCCAACGTTTGAACAATTCAAACTGGGTTACCACATGCCACTTGAATTTTATTTTAGAATCAAGTTGCATAATTTTGGTCACAAGAATGCTTGCTTAATATTCATAGACTGCGTGCCTGCTTTGACTCAAAGACTTTTGGTCCTCCTAGACTGCCTGATTCCCAGTCAACTGGTCCATCCCCCTAGCTGTCCAAACCCCACCTTTTGTCTTACTTAATCCAGCTTCCAATATATATATATATACATATAAACCACACACTCACTTCAAATTCAAGTTCATCACAAATTATATATTGAAGATACACACAAACAAACACAAGCAATCTATTAAAGAAAGCAAAGATCATCACTGTAACAGTGAAGTTAGGTTCTTCCATGGCGGTTTCTTCTACTCATGCGCCTGTGAAAGTGGTTTATATCAATACCCAGTACGTGGAAACCGATCAATTGAGCTTCAAATCTGTGGTACAGAGCCTTACAGGTAAGAACTCTGCTGTTGCATCGGTGGAAGATCGTTCTTTTGCAGCCCAAAAGAGAAAAAATTGTAGTGGCAGCAGAGGTAAAGGCGACGGTGTTTCAATTTTGTCAAAAGATTTGCGAACTGTGGACTTCGACAGATTGTTGTTTGAGCTGCCTTCCATGGAGGACTTGAAGTGGTAGTTGTCTCGGTAAGACTGTCTTCTTTCCTAGTTGGCCACATGTTTTTTTTTTTTTTTTAATAATTTTTTTTTTTTTGGAGAAATGAGTAAAACTTACATTGTTGTATTATAGGTAACGGTAGAAAAACATGTGGTTGACTTCTTTTTTGATTTTTTTGATTGGTTAAGGCAATGGGTGATCTTCATTTAAAGGAATAGGCTCCATTGTTTGGGAAATACTCCGGGTGTGCAATGGATACCATACGTAATTTTATAAAATTACGTTAGTTTTTACATATTTTCTTTATTTTTAGGTCGATGAAAGTTAATTGTTAGTTTGTTATATTAGTACTTACAAGAGTTAGTCTGTCAATTCTTACAAAATATTAAGTGCTTGCCTCCTAATTCAACTCCCTCTTAGAGAGAATGGAACCCATGATTTCTCCTTAGGGACTAAGCCTTTAGGATGGTGGCCAACTAAGTTAGACCTAGTTAGTTATTTACGCACTTACATAAATAATCTCACAAAAATATATAAATTAAAATACAAATTTGCATAAATTTACAAAATAGAAAATAGTTACAACAGATTTTTTTTTTTCTCTTTAAATTTAAATACTGACAAGATATAAAAGCCAACTAATGCAATACCAAAAATAATTGTAACACCATAGCCAAGGTCATTTCACATTAGGAGTGAGCAGCGGATATTTTGATCCGCTCAAACCGATCGAACCGAATTGATCCGCCGCATTTTGGACGGATACGTGATGACGAGCGGACAGTTGTGTATTGATTTTTTTAATACGCCTAGTTTTGGATGGATGGCGGATTTGAGGTTATTTTGGCCGCAAACCGAACCGCCAAACCGCTAGCACCCCTATTAATTTGTAAAATTTTGTATTTTTAATTTGTTTAGATATTTTGTTTGTGTTTTCAATTGAAAAAAAGTTTAAATATTCTGTTGTGTTTTTAATTTGAAAATCCTTTTATCAAATGACAAGTGTTAATATTTAGTATTTTGTGTGGAAAATATAAAGCTTATTTTTTTCATTTTAAAAAAAAATCAAATTAAATAATTTCTGAATATAAAAAAAATAATGAAATAATTTTGATAATACATAGTTTTTTTTATATGTATTTATTATTGGTATTTGACAATTTACTTGATAATCTTTTAATTATGTTGAGTTAGATTGTTATAAAAAAAAATGTTAATAAGTTGTTGTATTATGTTCAAAATTTATAAAAGTTTAAACCGTCAAACCGATTCATCTCCATCCGCCAATTTGTCAATTTAGAGGATTAGAAGTTTCCCGACCGCAATCAAACCGCAAACACCCCTATCCAGTGCCAACCTGTTGGCCCGTGACTAAGATCCTACCCGGTAATATTTCAGACCGAAATCTATATTTGGTTATAAACTCACCCAACTCAAAAAACTCTCCCAGGTGCCAACCTTAGTCCGGATTGACTAGTTAGTGACCACAAACTCACAATCCTTTCACACTGAAGTAACCATACTCTATATGGAAAGCTTCTAGCCTGCTTTCAGCCATGAAAATAAGAAGAAAAATGAAGTTAGCAATAAACTCAATAACTCACATGTGAAAAAAACTTATACACACAACAAAACGAAAAATGAAACTGAAGAATGGATCTAAACACAACTAATAACATAGAAAACTTAAAAAACATCTAAACCAAGTTTTTAAAATAAAACAAAATAAAGACTAACAAAGAATAGAATAGCATCTGAAAAATTTAAAATCTCAGAGATATTGATTTGTGATTATATATCAATTTTAACTAACAAATAATAATCCCAATCAAATAATCAAAGACAAATCAAAACAATGATTTAACGTGGAAAAGACTACAATTGGAGCACCTTCAATTGTGATAAAAAAATTACGGCCAAAAGCCACAAAACAATTCACTAAGAAGATACAAAGAAATTATACATGTGTACTCTCAATTATTTAGCGAATCTATGCTTGAATCGAACCGACCCATATATGTTTCTTCCAACATCTTCTTCACCTCGGAATTGTCTTACCCAATGTTGAATCCACAACGCTGATGTTGAAGCTACTCCGGAATCCACCAAAGCTTCAGGCCCAAATTCTACGGAATCTACCGAAAAACAAATCTCTCTTTTGTGAATAAAACAAAACAAACAAACCCTTTGATATAATCCACTAAATTCATAATATAAACTCTCACAGACATAAAAAAAAAAAAACAAGCAAAGAAGTTTCAAATGAAAACCTTAATACTCAAAAAGAAGATCTGGAAAACTTGACTGAACCGCAGCTTTTATAACAAACAGATCCGCAATCTCCGCTTGAGCGCAAGAATGGCCGCTCGAGCAAAGTGACTAAAAAGCTTGTGACTAAATAGGGTCTACGCTCGAGTGTGAGAATGGCCGCTTGAACCCCCAAAAACAACTCCTAGTACTTTTGTAGGCGAGTGAAACTTCTGAAAGGTCGCGATCTCAGCTTGAGTGCAAGAATGGCCGCTCGAGCGTAAAAACAACTTCGACTGCAAAGTGGCAAAAGAGAGATAGTTAGCGAAGTGGCAAATATGATAGGATTAATATCACAAACCTCTCTGCATAGGCACAATTTGGGTTGGATTCGCACCTAAATACTCATAGCCTCACTTAAATATAAGATCGAATGAAATTACACTAAAATAAGTTTTGTCAAACAGGATTGCCAATAACAAAAACCTAACAGTATCTATACAACAAAATAAAGCATAAGAACGATAAAACTCTTCAAAAAAGAGTTTTTCATTTTTATTACGGAATTACGGAAAAACAATAAAACTCTTCCAAAAAGAGTTTTTCCACAACTTGTGCTATTTTTATTATTGTAAAGCTTGGGGAAACTTAATTCCAATAGGTATTCCAAAAAAGAAAGAACAGCCAGGAAATTAAAAAATTCTTTGAAAAAATGAAAAAAATTCATAGAAAGAAAATCAATCCTGATAGAGTAAGGAAAATGGAAAAATGAATAGAACTAAAATAGATAAAGAGTAATGATAAACAAAAATAAAATAAAATAATTCATACATAAAGATGTAACAAAATGTGGACCTTTCACCCTTTTTTTGATCAACAAAATAAAAGATTTATAGATGAAAAAGCAAAGTACATGCAAAATTGCATCAACAAATTAGGGAAGTGCACTAAGCATCATAATTAACTTTTACAATCCCAATTAGGTTCGCACCGCAAAGGAAGCACAATCATTTGCTAGCACTTGACCCAAAATTGGTGAGAAGCCAATCAAAGCAACCAAAAGTAGAAAAAACAGGACAACGACACAACAAAAACAAACAATCAACATTTTCACCAGCAGCAACCTCATAGTCGCTGCTCAGACCAGAACATCATCATACAGTAGCAGGCCAAACAAACAGAACAACAGCATACAGCAGGCCAAAACAGCAGCATGAAAATGAATTTATTCATAAGAATGACATTGTCACATCATTCTTGTGAATCTTTTTGTCTGAATTTTACGTATAAATAGAGTTTTCGAAGGATAAAACTACCAATTCTTGACAAAAGCAACACCACCATTTGGTGAAGAAATTAACAAAACAATTTTTGACAAAAGATATATCTTATAAAATCCCATGAATGACAACTTCTTGCATAAGATAGAATCATAATGACAACATCACATTGAGGATTCTAGAAATTTAACCATTGAGCCTAACCATGATTTTAAAAAGAAAAATGAATGGCTCCGACAAAATGTAGCGATTCAACATGCCTCATTGTCAAAGTCCAATTTAACTATAGTAAGTAATTATATTTCATGAGACTATGCTTTAGCATAACAGAGCCAGAAGGTCCTTGTATATTAACTGAAAAACTCTCTTATCAAATATTTCAAGGCGACTAATATTAACAGTTCCTATAGTTTGGGACTTGTGTCTTTGGTCCTTAATTTTTCAATTATGACACATTTCACTATGAATTTTAAATTTTGTTTTAAATAAGAAAAATTGAAGATATCATTACTCAATTTCAAAGGTAAAATGGTCAATTTGATAAAATATAAACTAATTTGACAAAAATAAATGTTAAAAAAATATTTTTAAAATTTTTAAAATTATTTCTACCCACCAAAGTTAATTATGTAAAATTGATAAATCTTTTACACATTTATTTATTTATTTTTACCAAATTAATTTTTATTATGTGTTTGGATGATAATCATGTAATGGTTGTTTTTTTTTTTCCTGCTTTTTGACGATTATCATGTAATAGATGGTTGTATTTATTGTTAACAGATATTTTTGTATGATTATCATGTAATGGATGGTTATTAGGCTTTTAATGTGTAATCGATATATTGAACATATGAAATGTTTTTAATTTTGATTTTTTTTTGATTTAATGGATTGATTTTATAATATCAAAATTGTTGCTATATTTAACTTTTGAAAAAATAGAAACTAATTTAATGAAAATAAAAACAACCACCTATTATATGATTATCATTCAAACATATATTAAAAATTAATTTGTTAAAATAAATAAATATGTAAAAAATTTATCAATTTGATATAATGTTATCTTTGGTGGACATAAATAATTTTTAAAAACTAAAAAATAATTTTTTGATATTTATTTTTATCAAACTAGTTTATATTTTATCAAATTGATCACTTTGCCCTTGAAATTGAGTAATGGATTTTCAATTGTCCTTATTTGAAACAAAATTCAAAATTAAGAGTCAAATGTGTTACAATTGAAAAGTCAGGAACTAAAGTGACACAAGTTCCAAACTATAGGGACTGTACGAGAAAGAAATAAACCTTCTCGTATAATCCTGTTGATCAAGTCTGCGCTTCTCCGTATGTCGTCGCTTTATTCCCTGAAAACACAAACGTGAGCTAGCCGGCAGGTGTGTGCCGGATACCTCTCCGATGCTTAAGTCAGCAAATAGACAAATAGACAAAAAACTCTGTGTATTTGAGGATCAAAGTTGTGTTACCTCT